ATCACTACGAGTCCGATCTAGTAGTGAGACCCTGAACACCCTGTAGACCCTGCCCTACAATAAATAAATAAAGCAATACTACTATTCCATCTTAATCTATAAAAAATGGCTATCACCAAAGAAATAAAATAGTAATGAATGCTGATGAGGCTTCGAGGAAAAAGAAAACTTCCTACCTTGGTGGAAATGTAAACTAGTACCCCAACTATGAAATCCAAAGCACAGAGATTGCTCAAAAACTAAAAGTAGAAATTTCTTTAGACCCAGCTATACCCCTTCCCAGGATCTTCCTGAAAAAGTTAAAGACGTCATGTTACAATGACAGAGATACACTCATGTTTATAACTACACAAATCAGAATAGCTACACGTTAGAAGTGACCTACATGTGCATCAACAGATAGGTAGATTTTCTTTTATATGTGGTATTTATACACAGTAGGGTACTCTGCTATGAAGAAGGATAGGTTTGAATCATTTGTAAGATAGGGCTGGGGAGATGGCTCAGTGGAAGAAGCGCTTCCCTGGCAAGCACAAGGGCCTGAGTTCAATCCCCGGTTCTGCAAAAAAAAAAAAAGATGTAAATTTAAAAGGCTCAAGTCAACAACTCCTGACATTGCCAGTCTTATGGAAAATCCACTACTATTATGGACTATTGGTCTATCTAGGAATATTTTGCTGAATTCACACACATATATTTAAATGACAATGAAATACCCTTCTCTGACAAAGCTGAACAAAAAATGGGGGTACAAATGAACCACCATTTTTTATCTGTATATTCAAAATAGTTAGGCTAGATATACAGCTACTTTCTTTTAATCAATGAATAGAAAGATTTGTTCTAATAGTGCTTGTGGACATGATATCATGCCTGCATCTTGTACAATGAATAACCATTAACACAACAACATGCAATGTATTAATTATTGAAACTGTCCTAATCAGTTTTGAAACTGTCTCATTGGTATTTGTTTCTCAATAAAATTAATTTTTAAAAATGAAAAAAATGAGAATCATTTGTAAGAAAATAGATGATAGGGGCTAGGGAGATGGCTCAGTGGAATAAGCACTTCCCTGGCAAACACAAGGGCCTGAGCTCCATCCCTGGTGCCACAATAAAAAAAAAAAAAAAGAAAAGAAAAGAAAGAAAAAAAGTAGATGCTCCTTAAGACCATACTTTTAGGGGCCAGGAACATGGCTCAGTGGAATAAGCACTTCCCTGGCAAGTGTAAGGGCCTGAGTTCAATCCCCAGTTCCGGGAAAAAAAAAAAAAAAAAAAAAAAAAAGACCATACTGTTAAGTGCTGTGAAACACACCACAAGCTTACATATGAGAACCCAAAAATATAAATAAAGAGCACAATAAAATATAGACAATAGGGATAGGAAAATGGATCTTTTGGAAAAAGAAAGGGTAGCAAGAAATGGAGGGGGGCCAGGGAGATGGCTCAGTGGAATAAGCGCTTCCCTGGCAAGCACAAGGGCCTGAGTTCAATCCCCGGTTCCGAAAAAAAAAAAAAAAAGAAATGGAGGGAGGAGGGATGGAGGGGAATAAAATATGAAAAAAGAATTAAAATGTGTTTTGTGCATGTAGGCACAATCATAATATACTGCAAACATACAGTAGTAAACATAAAAATTTTAAAAAGTAGGGCCAGCCAGATAGCTCAGTGGACTAAAGCACCTGCTTAGGTGGAGTGCAGGGGCCAGGGTTCGATTCCCAGCCTGCTGTGCCAGCCCCGCCCCCAAGGCATGTTGAGAGGCAATTGAGAGTGGGTGTGGTGGTGCACACCTGTAATCCCAGTGTTTGGGAGGCTGAAAACAGGGGGATCGCTCTAAGTCCGACCTACATAGTGAGACCCTGTAGACCCTGTACTAAATACAAAAAACTAAGAAACAAAAATATTTCAACATAAGGATTTTAGGCCTGGAGAGATAGCTCAGCAGTCTAAAGGGCTTGCTTAGGCAGCTGTAAGAGACCACAGTTCGATCCCTGGCACCACATGCCACACCAGTTCTCAGGGCGGGTTGAGCTGGCAGAAAAATAAATAAATAAATAAATAAATAAATAAATAAGGATTTTAAGGGGATAGAAACATTTAGTACACACACCTTCTTGCTATACCCTTACATGATTGTTTCTCTGCACTCAAACATCCTGAGGCACTTTTATTAGTACATGTGTCCAAATCTCACCTTTTGGGCCAGGGAGATGGCTCAGTGGAATAAGCGCTTCCCTGGCAAGCACAAGGGCCTGAGTTCAATCCCCGTTTCTGCAAAAAAAAAAAAAAAAAGACTGAAAACAAACAAAAAGCCAAAGCAAAAAACAAACAAACAAATCTCACCTTTTAAGGGCATCAGTCAGATCGGAGTGGAGTCATTCTGAGGTATGGGAAGATAGGACTTTAACAGGTGAAGTTTGGGGGACACGGTCTAGTCAATAGCCAGTTTCAAACAATAAATTATAGCTGGAAGAAGAGTTCAAGCTGCATTCAAATACAATGGGAACCATGTGAAAGGTATAATTGACTATGACAAGAAATATCAGGGGCCAGTAAGATAGCTCAACAGACTAAGCGCCTGCTTAGGCAAGCGCAGGGACCATGGTTCGATCCCTGGCACCACATGCTGTGCTGGCCCTACCCCCAGGCACACTGAGCTGGCCACCAAGCCCAAATGTGGTAGTGCATGCCTGTAATCCCAGCACTGGGGAGGCTGAGACAGGAGGATCACTACAAGTAGGAGCTGCGTAGTGAGACCCTGTAACCCCCCCAAAAAAAAATCAGAAACTACCATATAGTAGAAGTGTTGTGAGGGCCCTGGGCTAGTGTGAGAACCTCCAGTCTGCATGCCACCATTCTTGGTTGTCACAAAAATATCTTAGAGTCAGGTGCAGTGGCAGGCACCTGTAGTCCCAGCCACTTGGGAGGCTAGAGCAGGAGGATTGCTAGAGCCCAGGAGTTCAAGGACAGCCCAAGTAATACACCGAGATCCAAAAACAATCTTTGAGGCATAACAGTAAACTAAACTCGGATAAAGACCAGAAAAGAATATATTTGCTCCAGTGGATGAAACATAAATAACATCTGCCTGGAGTCCAACGGGGATTGTGCATTCAAATACAACTCAGAGGCAGAGGGAAATCTCGCCTTGTGGACCAATATGCCCCTTGCTCCCATTCCTTAAGTCATAAGTATTTTAATGTGGGGCTCAGGGGAAGGGTTACAGTCTTAATAAATCCCCAGCTTTTATCCTTTCTTCCATTCAAAAGCCATTCTTTCTCCACCTACCTTGGGCTAAGCTTTTCCCTAGGCTAAATTTTAAACCTCAGCCTCTTAACCAATTCAAATGCTCCTCTCCTGAAATACCCTAGATCTTCAAGGTGAAAAGGCAGGTGAAACAGACCGGGCGGAGCTAGGGAACACAATGCTGCAGACAGACCCTTTCCATTGGCCCCTTCCCTCTCCAAGGCCTGCAAGTGACCCGTTTCCTCTCAACAGGGGTCGCCAGAGGCCGCTGGGACCAACGCCAGGCTCCTAGGAGGTGGCTCTCCGAAGGCAGCCAAGAATGTGAGTGCAAAGGTTAGTGACTTGGCAGGGTGGGTAACAATGGTGGCACCGCCGTGACCTCAGCGGTCTCCCACGGGCTCCGGGACCCACGCAGATGCTAGGGGAGCTGACCTCAGCAGCCCTGCACCGCCTGCTTTCTGTTCCTTGTTGCATAGGCGAGAACTAGATTCCCCAGGGTGTGGAGGCCTGAGAGCTAAAATCTCAAGCTGCCCCCCCCCCCGCCCCCTTTCCCTTTCCCCCAAAAAACCAGGGCTGCTTTCCAAAAGGACTTGCACTTTTCTTCTGCCCAGCCTTCCTGAAGCATCCTGGATTCTATTCTCAGTCTTATTTTGCTCACAGGAAAGACCAAAGGAAGGACAAGATGTCTCGCCAGAAGTAAAGCAGCCCTAGAAAGAGATCTCCAAGTCCCACTCTTCCTTCTTTGGTCTCCTCAGTGATAGACCAGTGCCCCTCTAGACCTGCCACCAAATCCTTGCCTGTAGAGCTCAGGAAAAAATAAGGGACAAGTCCTAGTGCTCACAGCTTACTGCAGCTTGAAAGGGGAACCCGGAGGCCCTGCCCCACTCGCTTCTTTCAAACACACTAACCCTCCTGTGACCTAAGCAGCAACCTGTTCTTTCAGATCCCTTCCTGGGAGTCCTTAGAAGAAACCTCATGACAGAGCCCCAGCTGCCAAAGAAGCAGTGTCCCTGTGATCATGTCAAGGTCAACGTGAAGAAGACCAGTAAGTCTCAGGAGAAAAGCCTTCCTTAGCCGGTTGTGGTGGTGCGCATCTGTAAGCCCAGCTCTTGGAAGCTGAGGCAGCAGGACAAGACTCTGAGGCCAGCCTGGGCTAAAGAGCAAGACCTTCTCTTTGAAAAAAAAGACAAGCTACAGAGTAGGAGACTTCTGTGACGTATACAACCTACGAAGGATTAGTGGTGAGATTATTGAAGAAACCCTGTAGATCAGTGAGAAGACGGGCGGCAGAACAGTCAAGCAGGCAAAACACTTGAATAACCACAGATGAGAAAGTCCAAACAGCTAATAAACGTGTGAAATGACACTTTTTACTATTATGTGGAAAGTGTGAGTCAAGTCCAAGATGAGCCAGATGTGGTAGCCTATGCCTATAATCCCAGCACTTGGGAGACTGAGGCAGGAGGATTGTTTTAAGTTTGAGGCCAGCCTGGGCTACACAGAGAGACCCTGTCTCAAAAAAAAATGCCATCCCTTGCCACCACTGAGACCAGGCATGGTGGCACGCACCTGTAATCCCAGCTCTGGGGAGGCTGAAAACAGGATCACTACAAGTCCGAGCTGGGTAGGGAGACCCTGTACCAAATAAATAAATAATGGGGAAGGGGGCTAAACTGAGATTATCACTATACAATAAGCAAATTGACAAAAAGTGTTTCACGTCTGACAATGCCAAGCACTGGCAGCAAACAGAGAAACTGTCACTCGCTGCCAATGGGAGCGTAAACGGAAAATCACACTGCAAAAGTGTTGGTAGTTACTTGGTAAGGCTTAAGTCATGTGTACTACATGACCAAGCAATTTCTTTGTTAGATAGATACTCAAAAGGAATGCTCACCTGCTACAGCAAGCAGAGACACCACAATGACACCCACGATTTGGAGGCACGTTTATTTTACATCAACAGGCACTGATCAGGGTCATTCCCAGAATATCAGCCCTGACCTCTGCTGGTCTAGGGCTTCTAGGAGATCGGCTAGCAGGGAGGACAGAGGCAGAATGGCTTGCCAGTTGGAGGACTTTTTTTTTTTTTTTTGGCTGGCTCAGGAGGCCTTAAGAGCAGGTCTGGTAAGGCATGAGGATCTGGGGATCCGACCACAGTATCCTGAGCCTGATTGTCACCGCTTAAGCAGGCACTTTAAACAACTGAGCTAATGGGCAGGGCCCCTGGCTGGTCAGTTGGGATTGGCTTATACACAGGGGCCAGCTGTTTCTAAGAAACCGGAAGCAACTGGAACAGGAACTATTACCTGGGCAACGAAGAAACAGAAGTACAGTGGGGGGGGGGGGCATTTCCTGTTACACACCCCCCCCAGAACATGTGCAACTTCATGGCAGCCTTGCTCATAACTGCTCTAGAAACTGACCAAAAGGCACAAGAGAAGAGCTGTGGCATGATTTCATGCACTGTCCTGGTTTTTGTTTGCTTGTTTGTTTGTTTTTGGTACAGGGTCTTACTATGCAGTTCAGACTCAGTGATCCCTCTGTCTCAGTCCCCCGAGTGCTGGGATTACAGGCATGTGCCACCACCAGGGCTGGCATGCCATGCGGTACCAGGGAATGGGCTCGGGGCCTTGCACTCACCAGGCAGGTGCTTTTGCTGCCAAGCTATGTCCCCAGCCCCTGTCCTATTCTTTGAGGATGTTATAACAAAATATCATAAATGAAGGGGCCGGGGAGATGGCTCAGTAGAATCAGCGCTTGCCTGGCAAGCACAGGGCCTGAGTTCAATCCCTTGTTCCACCAATAAATAAATATATAAATGGAGTAGTTGTAAACAGTGGAAATATATTTTTCATAGTTCTAAATGTTGGAAACTCTCAGATCAAGTAACCAGTAGATTCAGGCCCCACTTTCTGACTTATAGATGACCCTAACTGAGCTCTCACATGACAGAAGGGGTGACCTTGCTCCCCCTGCTTCCCCCAAGGGTGCTACCCACTGGTCCCATTCAGGAGAGCTCCACCTTAATCTCTGTGTTTTCATGAATAGGTATAGATGTGTACAGTATTTGACAACAATAAAAAGACTAGTTCAAAGTTCAAAGTGCAGGTTGAATTAATAAAAAAAAATTTAATATATTAAAAAAGGGGCTGGCGAGATGGCTCAGTGGTCTAAAGCACCTACTTGGAACGAGCACCGCGGTTCAATCCCCCAGCACCACATGCCAGCCAGCCCCGCCCCCTGGTGGACTGAGCTGGCCACACACACACACACACACACACACACTAAATAAATAAATAAAAATAAAAAAATTAAGACCTCAAAAAAAAAAAAAAAAAAGTGTAGGTCGGCAGTCTAAGCACCTGCCTGGCAAGCATAAGGACCTAAATTTGAACCTCAGGACCAGGCCCAAAAATCATTCACAGTGGCGCATGCCTATAATCCCAGAGCTGAGGAGGCTGAGGCAGGCAGGTCACTATGAGTCTGAACTGTGTATTGAGACCTTGTATCAAATAAATAAATAAATAAATAAATAGCTCAGCAAATTAAAGCCCTGCAAGCAGGTATGGGGTGGGGGTTTGTTTCCTGTGCCTGCCGTGCCAACCCCACCCCCGGGGACATGCTGACATGCTGAGCCAGCAACTGAGACTAGGCACGGTGGCGTGTGCCTGCAATCCCAGCTCTTGTGAGGCTGTAAATAGGTGGATCACTACAAGTCTGATCTAGTAGTGAGACCCTGAACACTCTGTAGACCCTTCCCTAAAATACAAAACATAAAAAGTAAACTATTAAGGGCTGGGGAGATAGTTCAGCGGCTTAAGCACCTGCCTGGCAAGTGCAAGGTCCTGAGTTCAATCCCTGTCCCCCCCTCAAAAAAAGTGAACTATTAATATAAGTTCGTAAATAAAAGCAAGCCATTGTGTTTATATCCCCGAAGAACATATAAAGCAGAGTATTAACCATGGGTTGGTAGAACACCATTTCTTTCTTATTGAATGTCTTTAATTTTAGTGTTTTCTACCAGACAAATCTTATTATTACCATCTTTTTTTTTTTTCAGTACCAGGGATCAAACTCAGGACCTTGCACTTGCTAGGCAGGCACTTATGCCACTGAGCTATATCTCCAGACCCCTTATTATTACCATTTTAAAGCTCTCATTAAAATTAAAATTTTGGGGGGCTGGTGAGATGGCTCAGTGGTCTAAAGCACCTACTTAGAACAAGCTTAGCAAAGCACAGGGACCGCAGTTCAATCCCCAGCACCACATGCCAGCCAGCCCCGCCCCCTGGTGGGCTGAGCTGGCCACACACACAAAATAAATGAAATAATTAATTAATTAATTAATTTTTTTTTTAAATTAATTTAATTTAATTTAAATTTTTAATTATTTAACATTAGCCTCTCCTTTATTTGTACCCTAGGACACCACAGACGCCACAGGAAGCCAAACAGGCGCTCCAGAGCCTGCCAAGAATTTCTCAAACAATGTCAACTAGCAAGCATTGCCCTGCCCTTATAGACACTCCGAACTAAACCTTCTCAATCGGAAAGGCTACAAACACTCCTGGAACACCCCTTGCCCGAGCACTCCCTAAGCCAACCCTGTGGTCCAAAGGCATTTGCCCCCCGCATCCCAACGATCATTTTTCCTTCTACTGTTTTTTCCTGTGCCTTCCGCACTACACAGCTTCGAGCTTAATTACCCAACTGCCTGAAAGAAACTGGGAAGCACTTCTAGCTGGTCACACTTGACCTGAATACAATCCAGACAGTAACAAAGACAAGTCAATGAATGTAATAGGGCCAAATTCATTTCTTTTCCATGTGCATTCAATCCACATGATCCACTTAGCCCTGTTTGCTCCAAATCCAGCCAAGAGTCTATGTTTACCTCTCGCAAGATCCTTACTCTTTCTCGATTGTCAACTTCTTATTCTTTTCTAGGGGATTAGGGTACCAGGGGTTGAAATCTGGGGAGTGATGTACTCTATCCCAGCCCTTTTTGTTTTATTTTGAGACAGAGTCTACTGAGTTGCCCAGGCTGTCTCTCCTACCTCAGCCTCCCCAGTAGCTAGGATCACAGGCCCAGGCCCAGGTCCAGGCCCATTCCAACCGGGGATTGAACTCAGGCCCTTGCGCTGGCCAGGGAAGCACTTATTCTACTGAGCTATCTCCCCAGCCCTCTCCTTTTCATTTTTATTTAACAAATCTTTCTGAGGTAAGAGCAAGGTAGAGCAAAAACAGCAGGTATAGTCATGAAATCAGACATTGTCTTGTGGGAAATAAAATAATGAAAAAATTGCCACAGTTGCCTAGCATGTAGGCAGCCCTCAGTACCTACGATTGCTATCTCTGTCATTATCATCAATAGTAATTGCAATCTGTAGGTTTTCATGCTAGTTCAGAAGATGTATATGCGGAACTATAGTTGAAGACCAGAGAGTGTGGAGAATCTCAAAGGTCATTCCAGAGGGCTTCCAGCCATAAAAAGGGGAGCACAGGCACACATCCACTACAACTAGGATGATACAGAGATTAGGATGGCCCCATGCAAGGATGTTGCACAAATTAGTGAAGCATTCCACAGTTTTGTGAGAGAAGGAAACACACACATGTTGGGGTTACCTTTACCTCTTTCTATAGACTGTACCAGAACATCTACTTAAGTTCTTCAATTCCTTTAAATAAAGAAATTCGGTACCACCCACAAAAAAATTGGAGGACATCATTTATCTTTTTAGCATTGGTAGGACACGATCCACTACAACATAAGATTAAATTGACAGCCAGTTATAGTAATGAGCAAGGGGTGAAAAAGTATTGTAAGTATAATCTGTCCCTCTCTAACCCTTTCCTCAAACATCAAAAGGGAAAAGGGAAAAAAAAGAAATGCTCATCCATAACTGGCTTCTCCATTCCCAGAAGAAGCAGAAGACCAATTGGGATGTTTTCCTTGTGGAAAGGAGCATTTTAACTGATTGGGGGAAAGGGTGGGGCCCTATTTATGACACAAGAGCCCAAGCTCCTCCCTTCCCATGAGAGCACAGGGCACAGCCACCTCTAGCCCTAGTCCCTCCCTCAAAGTAGAAGCCCCAGAGGGTATCAGTTGGTATAGGCTGGGAGGGCAACAGCGACTAACCCACCAGCCAGCTGCCTTTAAAAGGAAGACCAGGAGTGCCAGGATGAAGGGCTGGAATTCAAAGGGAAGTGACATCAGGAGACATCTGTGAAGAGGGAGGTGTAGGGTGGGAGTGAGGGGCTCAAAAGGATGAAGCCTGCAACCTCAACATCTGCCCTAAAAGAAATGGCAACAGTGGAGCCAAGTTCTAAGTCAGTGCCCAGGCCAGACTGGGGACCCGAGCTGGATCAGAGACCTATAACCCAACCAGAGCCTTGGCCAGAAGAAAGACCTGCAGCCCAGCCAGAATGGAAACCTCAGGAGGAACCCAGTCCCCAACAGGAATCTGCATCACAGCAAAGCTGTCTTACCCAAGAGAAGCCCTTCACTCAGGGTGAAGTTGAATCCCAGCAGGAACCTAGAAGCCAACAAAAATCGGCATTGAGCCAGCAATGTCCTACCCCAAAGCAATTACCCCCCAACCAAAGGCTGCTCTCCAATCAACATGAAGCTGCCTTACTTCAGGCACCTGGGGCAGAAGAAGCATCTACAACTCAACAGGAACCAGAATCGAGACAAGGAGATGTAGCCCAGCCAGGACCTGTGCCAACAGAGCTAGCTCTTGGTCAAAACGCAGAATTAACAACTACAGCCCAGGGAACATCTGAACTCAACACAGGACTGCCTGCCCACATGGAGTCTACATCCCAAGAGAAACCCAAACAGTCAGCCCAGAAAACACCTCCAGCTCAGGAGGTCAGTTCCAAGGGGGAGTTTTTGACAGAGTGGAGATTTCTAACAAAGCTGCACAAACTCTCCCTCCAGCAATCTGCCCAAGAGTGGAAGGCATTTTTTGAATGGGTCACAGATTCAGAGTCAGAAACAAGTTTTAAACCATCTTCAGAGAAACATCTTCCAACCACGAAAGGGGGAACTATGGCCCCAGGAATGAAGCTAGCCTCAAAAAGAAAGCTTGATTATGAAACAATGCCAGGAGGTGGTGGAAAGTCACTACATGAGAAGACCAGCCAGGACCACATACGCCACCCAAACACAGGTAAGTCTGAACCTGGAGGCAACGCAGCCTCCCAGGTTAGCTCAGGTTATCCTTCGACAAGCCTGTGAGATACATATCAACATCGCCAATTTTTATATAAAAATTAATATTCCCATTTTAAACAAAAAGAATCTTACACAAAGCCATGCATTAGGAAGTGTCAAGCCTAGGATTATGAGGTTAGGGGTTTTTCTCCCCTAACCAGAGCTGCGTGCTCTTTTTCCTGTTGAAACATACAATGAGCCCTGGCACTGAGACATTAACAACCCTGTCCACCTCAGCTCTTTGAGGGTTTGCCCAGCTCTTCCAGGGGTGACAGGCCCCTGGGTAGAGAGACGAGCTTTGCTTGCCCTCCAGACTATGGCCTAACAGGTGCCCTTAGCTTCAGAATTGGGGCTGTATGCTTTCCCCCTTTCAGGTTATGTCAATAGGTGACCCTCAGTTTCACCAATAAACTTGCATTCTTTCTTCTCCATTTCTCTATTTTGATTTGGGTGACATCAAATAGAAATAGAAAAGAGCTTTGGTCAAGGGAGCAAGGAACCAGAAATGCTGTTCCCCTCCCAGGATTCATTCATCCAGGCACAAAATTGGACTGAGCACCAGCTCTGGGGTGACACTAGCAGCACAGTGCTGAGTGTGGACCTTCTCCTGAGTTTTCACACAGAGGAGGCTGAACATCTGACGAATTCATGATGGATGAGCTGACCAGGTCTGACCTCTGCTTCTGGGAAGACACTTGCTCCCCAACCAGCTGTCTCCTTAGGGACTCTCAGTTCAGCCAGACAGCATGGACTTACTGTCTGGGTTTTCAGGAAGGACAATCTGGGAAAAGAGGTGGTCAATGGCGAGGATAGATGGGAGCCATGTCAGAGGGTGAGGGGCCCTAGGTTCTGGCTCATCCTGGGCTCTTCTAAAGCAGACATTGTGACCCTGTTGTGCAGGCTCCAACTCTGTGGCAGATATGCCCTGACCCTCCTTTTCTAGGCTCAAAACCCTTGCAGGGGAGAAGGGAGAATGCAAATTTATTGGTGAAATTGGGGATTATAGACATAACCTGAAAGGGGGAACCATGTAGCCCCGATTCTGAAACTAAGGGTACCTGTTAGGCTATAGTCTGGAGTGCAAGCAAAGCTGGTCTCTCTATCCAGAGGCCTGTCCTCCCTGGAAAAGCTAGGCCATGGGCAAGCCTGCAAAGAGCTGAGGTGGACAGGGTTGTCCTCAGACCAGGGCTGGTTATATGCTTCCGCAGGAAAAAGCAGAGAGTCAGGATGCAGAGTTTGAGCCTGCTTTTTAAGCACGGGATGAAAAGTTGTTTCTCTAGAATTCCAGATCCCAGTCTCAATGGACACCCGTGCCACACAGCAGCAGCTAATGAGGCCACCTCGCTCACTCACAGCAGTTGGGTATGAGCGCGGGGAAGCCTCGTGCCTCCCATTTCCCCGCCTTTTCCCATCCACACCCACTCCCTCCACTTCTGCTCCTCCCACGTGCCTGCCCAGGGCCTGAAGCCAGTGAGCTGGCAGTAGGCATTCCTTCTGGCCTCTTTCATTCTATAGGAGGAAGAGGTGAGGGTGTGGTGGGGGTGTGGGGAAGCCCCAGGACAGCTGGGTGTGATGGCCTACACCTGTAATTCCAGCTACTCCGGAGGCCAAAATAGAATCAAGAGTTCGAGACCAGCCTGAGCTACATACCAAGGCCTCGTGGTTGTGTCCTTAGGTTTGATGCTCAATACCACTAGAATAAAAAAAAAAGACAGATCTGAGCAACGGGAAAACAAGAGGGGGGTGGTCCAAGTCCCCAGGCACAGCCACGCCCCTCATGAGTGCCGTCCAAACGATGCTTTTCGCCGCCTATAGGGCTGTGTTTTCGTTGGCCGAGGGCTCTTTAATGGGCGCGAGGGGCCGGCTCCAGGCCTTGGACTCTAGCGGCCGGGGGCGGGGCCCAGCGCTGGAGCGGGGCCAGGATTGCTCAGGGGGCGGGACCCGGAGAGGAGCACGCCTGGCATTGGACACGTGGGGGCCCGGCGGCGCTGTGGAGCACGGATTGGCCCTCGCCGTCTGGCCTGGCGGCAGGAGCGGGGCCCAGCGCTGGGACGCGCAGAATTGATGGAGTCCGCCGGGGGATCGGGGCCCACTGGGGCCCGGGCCTCGAAGAATGAGAAAGAGGAGTTGAAGAGCCGCAGTCGTCGGCGGTGGCGAAAAGCCAAAGCCAAAGGTGAGCTCGCGGGCTCGCCTTAGCCCGGAAAGAACCATGCACATCTAGCGGGGTACTCAGCCCCGAGTGGAATGACCCACTGCCACGAGAAGGGGGGAAGCCCGTGGACTAGCCCATTGCCGTCCTGCGTGGGGGAGCGCGCACGATCTTTGGTGAGAAGAGGGTAATGCGAGAGCAGAATGTCCCACGGGGGCAGAGAAACTACCTGACGCCCAAGTGCGCCTCGGGAAGCAGAGCCTGGGATTAGAGTCTCTGCTCAAGGCTCTTGCTCTCTCGGATTGCATATTCGCTGAGACCGAGAGCAACAGCTGCGCTCCGTGGTCCCTACCTGGGAAATGGTTTAAGCGACGATTTTCAGGTCTCTGAAAACGTCGACTTTCAGGGCACTGTTGAGAGGATAATGGGAAATGCCTTAGTAGCTGTCACCCAGAGAGGGTGTTTAGTTAGGGATGAGTCAGGGAAAAGTAGGAAAGGGTGCCTGGTAGTAGGGAACGCTGTTGATCCTCGTCCTCCAGCGCCTTGTCCACCTATCCATCCATCTGTCCATCCATCCACCCATCCATCCATCCATCCATCGTCAGTCCACCTGACTCATCACCTCTGGGGCCTGGCTGGTGACTCACACCCCTTCCATACCCTCCTTAAAGAGAATGAAGGAACTTCACCGGGGTTTCCTAGATCTCAGGAGGGCTAGAGAGAGACTGACAGAGTAAGAGAGATAATAAGACAAGCCTCCGGTAGAAGCAGGCATTAAGTCCTGATTCAGTAATGAATCTTTGCCACTCTCAGGGAAGACCTATGCGAAATTCCTGCCCTTCCCCCAGCTTCAAGGACCCCAACCCTATCTTTCTCCCTGCCAAACCACTCCTCAAGGTTAAAACTAAAGTTGGCTCCTGAGCAAGCCACAGCTGAACAGGCTGACGGTTCAGACTGGAGACCAAGGGCACCTCAGCCATTGTAGAAGACACTGAACCCCCCAAGGGAGGACAGCATGCCCAGAGGCAGCAGAGACCAAGATGAAGAGCCTGCACCTTGGAGACCCAGTTCCTTAGGCTAGGAGGTGTGACATACTAGTCAACAGTCTGCTTCTTTCCTTGCCTCTACTTTCTGAACTCTTAAATGGGCAAAATGATAGTAGTACTGGATCACTGTGAGGTTCAAATAAGTATAGCGTGTGGCAACAGCAAGCCCTGAGGGGAAGTGGAAATGATTATTCTTGTTAGTCCCCACTAAAGTGAGCCCGTTAAGAGTGGAGCTGTGTCTACCTTGTTTACTCTCTAATGCCAGAGCCAACAATGTCAGACACATAGGCACTCAAATATTTATTGGATTAATAAGGGAAAGAATGTGTGAACTGTAATAGAGGAATATTAATACTCATGCTTCCTTTAGGGTTCTCCGGAGGAGTCAGCATCTGCTCGGGCAGGGCTCCCCTTGCCATCTCACACACAGACTCAGACCCACCTACTCACAAAGGCTCATTTCCCTGAGCTGCGAGATTTGCCTGTCATTTGCTGAGGCCTTTCCTGGTGCCAGGCTCCAGATCAGTGACTCAGACTCCACCCCCTGCCTCAAGGGCAGTGCGGCTGGCTGGAGCAGTCCTTAGTGTCGGTGTGATCTTGCCACTAACTGCATGAGAATAGTGTTGTTATGATCACCCTATTTCCAAGATGAGGACCCTGAAGTCCTGCGCCACCAAGCTTTCTGGCGTGGCCATTTAAGGCAGAGAGGTGGCCACCTCCAGGCTCCTGGGGCAAGGAATATGTATGTGAGTTGACAAGGTGTTGTGGCTACCAGCATTGATTCCAGGCCTACAGGTTCTGGTCACACAGAGTCATTCAGCAGACATTCCCTGAGCACCTAGTGGTGTCAGCTCTGGATTCTCAGGGACAAGCGTGTGAGACTCCCAGTGGAGATGGGGACCTACAGGTTAATCATATAACGCTATTATTGTAAAATGTGATAGGTAAACTGAGGAAAAACTCTGAAAAAAAATGAAAGAGGGACACTCCCCAAGGGACGCTCCCCAAGGAAGTGACATTGAGCCCAAAGTTGGGCAGGCAATAACTGTGACGCAAGGGGACAGGGAGGACAGCAAAGCAAAGACCTTGAGGCTAGCACAGGACAGTGCAGGGGAGCTCCAAGAGGTAGGGAGGCTGGAAACAGGAAGCTGGGGCGAGCAGGGTAAGAGAGGAAGGCATTATTAACCTGATTCAGGGAGCTATGTCCAGGATTTGGAGCTTTATCTTGAGAGCTGGGGTGGCAGGGGAAAGGTGTGTGGCCCCATTTATGCTTCAGAAAGACCCTTTGGATGCTATGCTCAGAACAGATTGAAATCACACACACACACACACACACACACAGGCACACACACACACACACCCCAGAACACATCCAAACATCATGTATATATTGATGTGTAAGCACACACATGTCACACAAGTTCACAAGCCAAGAAAAGTGGAGATACACTCGCAGGCTAAGAAACACACATAGGCCATGATATTTGCTTACAGACACCCTCAACACACCAAGAACGTGAAACTGCGCAGACTGAGGGGAAAAAAAAAGTCAACACGCCCACAAATACAAGCAGGACATCCTGGGCATGACACAAATGTGCACGCCTACACCTGAACCTCCACGACACCTGACTGCCCAGCAAGCACCCAGCAGGTACAACAGAAAGAAGTGGCAGCAGACAGAGAGACGCACACACAGAAACGCACGCAGAGACCGGCAGCCCTGTCCTGGAGCTGCATCTTGTTGGCTCTGTGTCCCTAGGCAGTCATGTCACCTCTCTGCACCTCTGTTTTCTCATCTGCCTAAAGAGGATGATAATGGTCCCTACCTTGAGGGTCAAAGAGAGCATGACACAAGTTACTTTATGTGACACACATGAAGGGAACAGTGCTGGCACATGTCTGCTATGCCATGTGGACTCCCAGGGAGGGACTCACTCACCTCCTCCACCTGCATCTGACCCCAGCATCTCAGGCCTGCCCATCTCAGCAGCCCTTGCCCCATCCCAGGCTCTAGACCTGGCCTATCTCCATCTGCCCCTGCATCCTTCCCCCACTGCCCTTCTCTCACCCCTGTTGCATCCCCACGAGCCAAAAGCCAGGCTGGGCCTAGTTATTCAGTCGTTTTTTAGGTCAGAGGGCTGGTGCCCAGGCAGCTGGACAACCTCTTCCAGGCCCCTGGTCCCTACCACTGCCCCACTCATGCCGTGTTCACCCATGGCCCCAGTGCCCTCTGCCTGGGATTCTTCACAAGTTTCTGGCAACCCCAGTATCCCTTCCCCTCATTTCCAGCTAGCTGGGCGTTCAGGGAGCTGCCTGGAGCAGGACACAGGGCAGGGCCTTGCTGTTGCCAGGGGCTGAAGTTCCGCCCCTTCCCCACCGCTTTGTGCATGTTACTTGCTCAGGGGCTTCCTCTTCCCTTATCTGTCCTAAAGACCCCTAGGCCACAGAGAGAAGTGAATGAGACCACTTTGAAAGGGGAAATACCAGTGTCAGGAAATATTTAGAAAGCAAACCCAGCACTGTGCAAGGACCAAATAAAACAGAGAAGATCCTACCTTCAGAAACCTACACTCTAGTAAGGAAAACAGAGGGCAAACAACATAAAAAGGAAGTTGTATGTCAGATAGTGATGAGGGCCAAGGAGAAAAACGGCCCAGTCCTCCAGCTCCAGGTAGCTAAGCAAGCTGAGGGAACAAACAAAATGCAGAAGGTGCCTGCCTGGGGTGGGGCTCTAGCTCAGTGGTAGAGCACTTGCCTAGCATAGCTGAGAGCCTGGGTTCCGTCCCCAGTGCCATAAAAAGAAGAAAATGAAAAAAGTAGCACCTGCGAGGGACTGCTTGTGAAGCGCATCACTCACCCCAAGTGGACCGAATAGCAGGCACACATGGGGAAGCCAGATGCACCTGCAGTTGCTGGCTTGGGCCAGTGTCTCACTAATCCTAGCTGCCTCCTCAAGCCCAGTCCGCCCATCTTTCCATCTGCTCACCAGCACTCGGGGGAACAGTCAAAATCTTGTTCAGTCCTGGGAAACAAACAAGTAAAAAAACGCATGATTACAGAATGTGTAAAATGCTGAGAGAGAAGAGCTAAGCATTATGGGAGAAACAAATGGGGGTACACCTCAGGTGGAGAGGAGCAATTAGGGAGGACCTCAGACAAGACCCGAAGGACAAGAATGAGCCAGCCAGGCAAGAAGTTTGTGCACTAACTTGAATGAAGTGTCCCTCTGCTCCTCCGTGTCCCCTCTGGAGGGAAGGGTGGCAGAGCAGGGAGGGTTGTGAAAGATAAAGAACAGATAACAGGCTGCCCAGCCTGCAGACACTTTCCAGTAGGACCTATGACTTGGGCTCCTAGCTGAGGTTGGCACTGGCCTTAATCGGCTTTTGTCCTCCCTAGAGGGACAAGCAGAGCTGGCTACTTTGTCTCTTCCCCCAACAGCTGGGGATGCCTGTGCCAGGACCAGCCTGGGGGTGGCAACGGAGATCACTGGGCTTTTGGCTCCAGGAACTCACTCGGAGGAAGGGAAGGCAGGCTGGCCGGGAGGGAGGGGACAGCGTCTTTAGGACTGAGGCTGTGATTCCTGGGTCCTGCGGGACAAGATGACTCGGACCCTGCATACCTTGGTCTAAAGGAGCAGGCTGGGGCCTGGGCTCCTGGGTTCCAGGGCAGAGGAGCCAGGGACAGGACTCCCGGTTGATCTGGGGCTGGCAGGGATAGGGAGGGGCAGGGACTTGGACTTGTGCTCTGTTTACAGCATGTGTTTTCACTGTCTTCTGGGAGGGGGACAGAGGGTGGCCACACCCTGGGCAGGCTGGCCACGCCCCTAACTTATCGCCCTGGGCCGCTACTGGCACTAACCACAGAACAGCAGTCCCAGCCGAGGGAGCTCCAGCTCCGAAGAGGCCTGGGAGGGGTGAGTGCACTGCCAGCCGAGACAGGAATGGCTGCTGCCTGACCCCAGGACCTGGAAGAGGGGGGAGACACCTTCTTCTGGGGGAACAGGGTGTAATTACAGAGCCAGACAGGGCATCCGGCTTCAGGAAAGAGGAGTCCCACAGGCAGATGGTGGCATCCTCACCAGTGGAGCAAAGGCAGCTTGTCCAGGACCTGGGTAACAGGCCATCCGAGACATACATAGGCTGGCCTGCGTGCCTGGGGAGGACAGGGATCTGAAGGGGAACTATGACGGGGAGCCTGAAGTAGGAGGTCAGATGTAGTACAGGCAGGTTTTGAGAAGCAAAGCTAGAAGCCTGATCCCCAGAGCCTTCGGTTAGAGTCCAGCACCTGCACTTAGAGACCTGGGCTTGAATCTGTGCACGCTTCAGCTCCTTGGTGGAGCCCTCGGAACCCATCTTCTGTGCTGTAAAGCAGGGATACTAGCAGTCCTAGAGGTCTGAGCATAGGCCCTCTGGGTCTCAACGCCCGCATTGAGTGCACAGGGCCTGCCACTGAGTAAGCCCAAGGGCAGGGGTAGGGATACTCTGATATTCCAGATAGGGGAGCAGAACTTGCCGTGCAGCCTAAGTGAATCCAGTGGGCCAAGCTAGAGAAGTTGATTCTGATCTTTCGAGGACTCGAAGGGGAACAGGATGGAACTGGAGTTTGGAGGGTTTTCAATTCAGGCTTGGGGGCCAGACAGACAGGTAGGAGTTCTTAGTGAAGGCTAGAATTATGAACTCTGGGGTTGGCACAGGGGTGCGGGTGCATCCTGGGAAATGGGAAGGGGGCAGGTGCTAAATGCGCCCAAATGGTTTTTTTTGTTTTGTGTTTTTTTGTTTGTTTGTTTGTTTGTTTGTTTGTTTGTTTGTTTTTGTGGAACCAGGGATTGAACTCAGGCCCTTTCTCTTGCCAGGCAAGCACTTATTCTACTGAGCCATCTCCCTGGCCCACCCAAATGTTATTGACGAGAAAGGAGGAAAGTCCTCTGGGCAGAACCTGGGGCCTAAGAAGGAAAGACCGGATGGGGGCCCAGACTCCTGAGCTTTAGATAAGGGACCAGCAGGGAGTTCCAGACTTCTGGGAGCCAAGGAGCCCCAGGAGAAAAAAGGGAGTCAGGTGTCTAAACTCTTGAATCCCTGGAAGGAAGAAGGAGGAGGCACACTCCTGGGTCATAGGGAAGATACAAGCCTAAGAAATCAGATTCCTTTTTTTCTTTTGCGAGGGAGGGGCTGGGTGTTGGAAAGCCAGGGCTTTCATATTGAGTTACATTCCAGCCTTTTATTTATTTTTTTATTTTGAGCATGGTTATTTTTGGGTTTTAGGATCTCACCATGTAATCCGGGCTGGACTCGAACTCATGGCCGTACTCCTTCTTCAGCCTCCTGAGTGCTAGGCCTACACAGGCACATCAGGGCTTGCTTATTTATTTATTTGATACAGTCTTGCTACACAGTTCACACTCAAAGTGATCGTCCTGTCTCAGCCTCCCCAGTGCTGGGATTACAGGCATGTGCCACCACACCCAGTTTTGGTGGCCCACACAGCATATGGTACCAGGGATCAAACCCGGGTCCTGTGCTTGCCAGGCAGGTGCTTAGGCTGCCAAGCTATCTCCCAGCCCAGGGTTTTTTTTTATTTTGAGACAGGATCTCTCACTAAATTACCTAGGCTGGGTTCAAATTTGTAATTCTCTTGCCTCAGCCTGCCAGAGGACCAGGATTGCAAGCATGCGCCACTACTCCCAGCTTCAGCAACTAGATTTTTATGGGCTCAGGTTGTCCAGACTTCTGGGTCCAAGAGAGAAGGCATGGCCAGGGACGGCAGGATTCTGAGTCACCAAGAGCAGCAAGCAGGGACCTCTGAGTCTTGAAGAGGTGGAGTCTTGGGCTTGGATTCCTAGGATTCAGAGGACAGAGGGCTTAATCTCCCAGCTTCTAAAAAGGCAGAAAGTTACTGGGGTGGTAGATTTGCTTGTGCTAAGGTAGGTAGGGGAAGAGGCTTTAGAGATAGGGGTAACCTTCTGAGTGTGCGTGAGAAGGAGCCTGGAGTCTTGGGCCTCTGGGCCTAAGAACGATGAAGGCCAGGGGTCCAAACCTGAGCCTGAGAGAGAAGACATAGGACCTGTATTTCCAGGCCCAGAGCTAACAGACCTCCTCACCTGCCTACAGCCTCCCGGCTCTTGCACACCATGGACCTGCGCACGATGACACAGTCGTTGGTGACTCTGGCGGAAGACAACATGGCCTTCTTCTCCAGCCAGGGCCCTGGAGAGACAGCACGGCGGCTGACAAATGTGTTTGCAGGGGTGCGAGAACAGGCACTGGGGCTGGAGCCAGCCCTGGTCCGCCTGCTGGGTGTGGCACACCTCTTTGACCTGGACCCAGAGACCCCAGGCAATGGGTACCGCAGCCTGGTGCACACAGCCCGCTGCTGCCTGGCACACCTACTCCACAAATCCCGCTACGTGGCCTCCAACCGCCGCAGCATCTTCTTCCGAGCCAGCCACAACCTGGCGGAACTAGAGGCCTATCTGGCTGCCATCACTCAGCTCCGCGCCCTGGCGTACTATGCCCAGCACCTGCTGGCCACCAACCAGCCAGGGGTGCTCTTCTTTGAGGGAGATGAGAGACTTACCGCTGAGTTCCTGCGGGAGTATGTCACGCTGCACAAAGGCTGCTTCTATGGCCGCTGCCTGGGCTTCCAGGTGAGCCTCCTGCCCCAGGTACCTCTGGGCCCATGTAGAAGCACTGCTTGCTCCTAACCTGGCCCAGGGCTATGGCAGGGTAACCACAGTGGTCAGTAGTATTGGACTCAGGAAACAGAAACAGAAAGGGAAAGTTGATAGAGCTCAGAGCTAGCTTGGGCGTCTCAGATTCATAGCCTTGGCTGTCTCAGATTCATAGCCTTGGCCCATGTCTGCTCTGTACTGAAAAGCCCTTAGCTTCAGCAGGTCTTTTCACCAGGGTTCCCACCGCCACTCCCTGTTGTCTTCCACTCAGGAGATTCTTTCACTCTTTGATGTTACCCATCTTGCCCCAGATGTCACTTGAGTTTGAGACCCCTAGGATGATGGTCAGTGTTGTTCTCAAAGACCTGCTCTGTACGAGTGCGCCCCCTTCAGTCATACCCACAGGACCTCTGGAGGGAGGAAGGCAGGGTGCCAGCCCACAGTGGCCAGACCGGATCCACTTTCAAGTAGCTGTGGAATCATACGATTATCAGGCGGCCCTTGGGAGGACCAACAAACCTGTCCGAGGAAGTGAAGATGACCTGCCCATGCTCTTCCCTGAACCACGCACCCTGACCCTAGTTGTAGGCCTTTTCCTATCCTCTGCTTATCCCAAAACACCCTCAGAGAGACAAAGCTCATCAACACACAGACAGCAAAGTAGCTGAAGGCCATCTGACTTGTGTAAAAAAGTGATTTGGGGATTTTGAGAATTGAGGGAACTTGGGGCACCAGGCTCAGAGCAGAGACCCATCTTGCCCCATCTGGGGTCAATGTCAGCTCGTCTCCCACCACTAGTTGCATGGGGGAACCCCAGTAGGAAAGTCTGGAGCTGTGTGACCCTGCGGTCCCTTCTGCCCTTTCTGGGTCTCGCTCTATGTTGGTGATAGCAGAGTCTGGCAGTCTCCCCACTTCTCTAGCCCACCCTACCACTCAGGCTCCCCTGAGCGCCAGCCTGTCCTCAGCAACTCAGCCCAGAATTCTGGAAACCTCCCCACATTTGAGCTGCATGCACACAGACCATGAGCTCAGCAGAGCCAGCCAAGCCCTCCCCGTGTCCTGAAAGTGACATTGGAGTCACGAGGAAGAGATCCTGAGCCGCCTAAACCAGTATCCCGGCCACAATGGCCAGGCACCCTGTGCTCTCTGGCCTGCTGGGCACACAGCCAGGGGCAGGGCTAGAGCCAGCTGACGGCTTCTCTTGGGGGGCCCAGCCTCCCATTGAACGTGTCAGCCCCCAGGAAAACAGGCCTCCCCATCTCAGTCACTTCCCAGCGTGCCTGGCATCCAGCATGCTGTAGGGCCATGGCCAGCGTTTGCAGAACAAACAGAGCAACCCTGCCTGCACCTGGCCTCCACCTCCTCCAGCTTTGCTTCTTCTGATCCTGCCTCCCTGTCATCTTGCTAACTTCCTGTCTACTCTCTGGGGTGCCATCTCCCCATTCCTCTGCAGCAGCTATCTGTCCCATCTCTAAGCCTCAGACAGTCTCCCATCTGGCTTTTTGGCACATGATCCCACTAGGCTGGCTCCAGCTGGCTCCCCATTTCTGCCCTCCTGGCACCCTGTAACTGCCCCCACAGTCTGCCTTGCTCTTCGGAGAGAGCCCTGCCTCACTCTACTCCCCAGCTCACAGGCCCCCAGTGGCTACCCTCACGCTCACAGTGAAAGGCAGGCTCCTTGCTGAGTGTGGTGGTGCACACCTATAATCCCAGCACTCCGGAGGCTGAAGCAGGAACATTAGGAGTCCAAGACCAGCTTGGGCTACAAAGTGAGCTCAAGGCCAGTCTGAACTGCATAGTGAGACCTTGTCTCAAACAGACAAAAATTAAAAAAGGGCAGGCTCTTTAACCTAGGCCCTGCCGGAGCCCATTTCTCTGCCCTTCTCTGCCTCTCCCCACCTGACTGCTCCAGCCACGCTGGTCCTCTGGCCTTCCTCGCTGCCCCAGCCCAGTATGGTTCACCCCAGACTTTGCACTCCCTGTGCCCTCTGCTGTGAGCAGCCACCTGTTATCCGCTCGTCACCACGCCTGCTCCACCTGCCGTCTTTGCCTCCAGTCATCTGTTGCTCCTTGACACTGTTGCATAGGTCTTCCTGTATTTGCTTATTGCTTCTCCTCCCTTTAAGGACACCAGGTCCATAAAGGTGCCTAAAGCTGTGCTGGCACACGTGGGAGCTCAGAAATGCTTACTGAGTGGCTGTCTGCCCCCCACTGCTGCCCTGTCTTTGTCCCTGTCCCGTATGGGGGTGACTCTCGCGTCTCTCCACAGTTCACGCCCGCTATCCGACCATTCCTGCAGACCATCTCCATCGGGCTGGTGTCCTTTGGGGAGCACTACAAGCGCAATGAGACAGGCCTCGGTGAGTGCCAGCCAGGCCCTGCCTGCAGCTTCCCTGCCTGTCCCTCCTCCCCAGCCCTGCACCGCAGCCTGACCCACAGGGCTCCCCGGCACCCTTCCCACCCCCCAGGTGTGACCGCCAGCTCACTCTTCACCGGTGGCCGCTTTGCCATCGACCCAGAGCTTCGTGGGGCCGAATTTGAGCGGATCATACAGAACCTGGACGTGCACTTCTGGAAAGCCTTCTGGAATATCACAGAGATCGAGGTGTTGTCGGTGAGCCCAGGGCCAGGCGAGGGGCCTGAACTATTACAGATGGGGATACAACACTAATGTCCAGAGACTTGTCCAAAGCCCAGCAGGACACTGCTGGGCCCCAGGCCCAGGGATAGTGCATGAGGGGAAAGACTGATGATGGGAGGGGAAGTGTGGGGCACCCCTGCAGGCAGCCTGTCCTCATCACCCTTCCCTCCCACCAGTCTCTGGCCAACATGACATCTGCCACTGTGAAGGTCAGCCGCCTACTCAGCTTGCCACCTGAGCCCTTTGAGATGCCACTGACCTCTGACCCCAAGCTCACTGTCACCATCTCTCCTCCTCTGGCCCACACAGGCCCTGGGCCTGTCCTCATCAGACTCATCTCCTATGAACTCCGTGAAGGACAGGTAAGACCCCAACCTCAGCCAGAAGCCATTCCACAGCTGAGGAGCAGAGGCAGCCTCCAGCCCAGCGTGCCTGGAATGCATTGTCCGGGAGGGCTGTGTCACTGTCCACATGCCCTCCTTCCACCTGGTGCTCAACACACGCACACATCATGCTGTCAGAGCACAACCCCTTGGAGGGATAACGCCCAGGCTGGCCCAGCCCAGCCTTACCCACCTCCTCCTTCCTCACCCCCAGGACAGTGAGGCACTCAGCAGTCTGGTGAAATCCGAGGGTCCCTGGAGCCTGGATCTGCGGCCCCGGCCCCAGCATGCACCCCGCTCTCAGTCCTTGGTAGTGCACTTCCATGGTGGCGGCTTTGTGGCCCAGACCTCCAAATCCCACGAGCCCTACCTCAAGATCTGGGCTCAGGAGCTGGGTGTCCCCATCATCTCCATCGACTACTCCCTGGCCCCTGAGGCGCCCTTCCCCCGAGCGCTGGAGGAATGCTTCTACGCCTACTGCTGGGCTGTCAAGCACTGTGCCCTCCTCGGTGAGCCCCAACCTGTCCTGCTTCTACCCCTAGCCAGTCTCAAAGGGGCAGAGAATGCTCTAGTTCTCAAGGCCTCTGCCACCCGCTTGCCCCGCTCTTGCCCTTCCTCAGTCAATTCCACCACTCCTGTTTCACTCCAGCCTGGCCTTCTCCACTCCACCCCCAGCTGTCTTCCTGCTGTCTCTTCTTGCCTCCCGGAGTTGCCTGGGTCCCTGAGCTGCCAGCCTCCTAGCTGGTACACCCTGTTCTGCAGTTCCTCAGACCCCTCCCTTTGGATATCAAAATTTTAGGAGGACACTGAGGCACAGAGCAGGGGGTAGCCCTGCAGTGCAGTCTTCAGGACCACAGAACCCCAAGCTTTGGTTTCCCAGCCTCTGATGTCCCTCCATGCAGAAACAGGCTTGAGCTCCCTTTTCCTGCCAGGCGCCTCTGCTGCTGCCTCCAGCCTCCTGATTTCCTGCACTTCCAGCTCCCAGGGCCTCTCCATGTCCAAATCTCCCTCATCCTGTGTTAGATCCCAATTCCTTGGTAGACCACTGTCTAACCCAGCAGGCCCAAATCCTTGCCTCAGTTTACCAGTCTCTAAATGGCAGGCTGCCAGAACTTGGGGAAACCCACCCCTGCCTCTGAGGGCCCCAGTTCTAGCCCACAGCTTGAGCTACTCCCTGTGCACCTTCCCCAGTTCCCTGACCCTGCTGGGCAGTGACCAAGTGCTTGCTTTTCCTTAAAACTAGGTTCCACAGGGGAGCAGATATGCCTTGCTGGGGACAGTGCAGGTGGGAATCTCTGCTTCACCGTGTCCTTTCGAGCAGCAGCCTATGGGGTTCGGGTGCCTGATGGCATAATGGCAGCCTACCCAGCCACAATGCTGCAGACTGCAGCCTCTCCCTCCCGCCTTCTGAGCCTCATGGACCCCCTGCTGCCGCTCAGCGTGCTCTCCAAGTGTGTCACCGCCTATGCAGGTGAGGCCCCACACTCCATGCAGGGCTGGTGTGCTGGATCACCTGGGTCCTTCAGGCACAGGGACAGGGGCCATCTCAGGCCTGAGAAAGGAAGGACAGGGTAGGGGAATCTGAGACTTCTTCCTTTTGAATGAATCAGATATTCTTGGGCCCCTGAGGGCACAGATGCTAGAGTTCTAGGTTTTCTTCCAGAAAATGAGGAAACCAATTCAGCCCCCCCCCCACAACTTCCACCCCATTCTGCAGGTGCAGAAACAGAGGAAGACTCCAGCTCGAACCAGAAGGCCCTGGGCATGATGGGGATAATGCGCCGGGACACTTCCCTGCTCCTCAGAGACCTCCGCGTGGGTGCCTCCTCCTGGCTCAACTCCTTCTTGGAGCTGAGTGGACACAAGTCCCAAAAGAAACCAGTGCCTCTCTCAGGTGAGTGACAGCCAGGGCAGTCAGGAAAGATGGGCAAGTACAACAGAAGTCCCAAGGGAGGAAAGGGTCTGAGCCTGGAGCATGCAGTAGAACAGAGGCTACCTTCCTGGTCGGCTCTACCCCCTTATTCATCAAAGCCTTGATCTTTCAAATCCTGGGAATTGGAGAACACCTAGCCCCCCAAGTCATCTCGAAATGCCAAGAATTGTTTTTTTAACAGCCTCACCCAGACCGTGCCCTGGGAAATGACTCAGAAGAGATGTCCTCCCTGTCCTGATTTTCAATCCCAAAATCTCCACCCAAGTCCCTTAAGTAGCTGTCCAGCCCTCTTCAGTTCTTCCTGCAGACTTTTGACAGTGGTATACAGGGCTTGGTCCCCCAGCAGCTGCCCTGAGAGCCAGGATGAGAGCCAGGATGGGGAGAGCTTGTACAGACCCTGGAAAGTGGAGCTTCCCAGTCTTGGGTGGGTGGCAGGGCTCAAGGAACCAAAAATCATTCCACCCAGATATCCACCTACATTCAAAGAAAAAAATTTTTTTTCCAGTACTGGGGATCAAACAAGTCCTTGCTCTTGCCAGGCAGGTGCTTATACAACTGAGCTATATCCCCGACCCCAATCAAAGGACTTAAAAGCACAACTAATTTTATTTTCTACCTCTAGTAAATCTTCAATATTTTCTTTTCTTTTTATGTAGTTGGTACAGGGTCTCTCTATATAGCTCAGGTTCCAGGTTCATAGTGATCCTCCTGTTTTCAGCCTCCCCAGTGCTAGGATTATAGGTCTGCGCCACCACACCTAGACTCAGTGGCCTGCTCAGTGTGCCCGGGAGCGAGGCCGATATGACATGTGGTGCCAGAGATCAAACCCCTTGCTGCACTTGCCTGAGCAGGAGCTTAGTCCACTGAGCTATCTCACCAGTCCTAATATTTTCTGAATAGAAATTATACAACCAAAGTAGATCCAGCTGGGCATGATGGTGCATACCTATAATCCCAGCACTTAGGAAGCTGAGGCAGTAGGACTGCCAGAGTTCAAGGCCAGTCTGGGCTATATAGTGGACTATGAAGTGAGACTAAGCAAAAGTAGATCCAGTTCCTGTTATTCAGAAAATTATTCATGGGTTCATGTTTTTATTTCTGATGCACTTTTTTTTTTTTTTTTTTCTTTTGTACCTAGGATCTAACTCAGGACCTTGCACTTGCCAGGCAGGCACTTAAGTCACTGGGCTATCTCCCCAGCCCTGGTTCATGATTTTAATTTTAGGATCATCAGATAGATGCAAATATATACACACAGAATGAGTTAAAAGGAAGTTGAACTTGAGGCAGCAGGCCATTGAGCAGTAAAGCTTCCTAGTAGGATAGAGGTGACAGGGCACCCCGGGAGGCACATGCTCCAGTCAAGATCCTCACCTATAGTTGCTGGCCAATGGCTAACACAGGCAAGTCACAGAACCTGTGAGCTTTGGTTTGCTCCTCTGTGAAATGGGCACAACAAAAGTGCCTGCCTTGTTGGATCATTGAGAAAACTACACATACTCATCATGTCAAATGCCCAGGACAAGCCCTGGCACACAGTAGGTCCTCTTGGGAGATGTTGGTCTGCAGTGCCTTATCTCAACAATGCTAATAACCCTCTGGATCACAGCACTCAATGCAGTTTTTCCTCATGTATTTTGGCCTCATGGGGTGATAGAGATAAGCATAAGCCAGGTGTGGTGGCACACACTTGTCATCCCACCACTCAGGAGACTGAGGCAGGAGGATTAACGAGAGTTCACAGCCAGCCTGGGCTACTAGTGAATTCAAGGTCAGCCTGCACTACATAGCAAGACCCTGTCTCTAAATTAATTAATTCATTAATTGATTTAAAAACCTCACATCATGTCCATGCCCTAGGGTGAGCAGTTTAATAAAGTTAATAGCACTGAAGCCAAGGCAGAAACCCTGGGTGAGCCGGACACTTACCTTTAGCATCACGTGGGCACTTGTCTGCTTGGTCACTCAGAGAAAAGGAGAAAACTGAAACACATGAAAGAAACTTTGGGGACAGCTAGACCCCCTGGGAAACTAATCTACCCTGGAGACTTGTTAGCTCCCTGTAAACAGAATCTTTTCTCAAGCCTCGTGGGGCCCCACGCTATTCTGGGCACTTTGATGCATTCAAACCCATTATATCAAGTGGCCATAAAAGGCTTGGTGGACTTCCTACTGGGCTGGAGGCAAGCCTGGTAACAGGGCAAGCCTGGTAATAAAATCTTAATACTGATATATTATGGTCTCCCACAGCGTAGTAGTGCTGTAGCTAATCTCTCACATCCTATCCCGCTGAGTTTTTACATCCTAACATCCTAGGAGTGAAGCTATTTCTACCTCCTTTGAACACAAAAGAAATGGAGTTTCCTAGAAGTATTATGGCATGCCTTTCCCAGTTTCACACACACACTGTGCTAAAAAAAAAAAAAAAAAAAAAAAAAGTCCCACTTCTAAGAACACTAAGGGACGGGTGCCCTACGGAAGTGGCATCCAGGGATACTGGAGCTCCTTATCTATATCCTGGGGCAGTCTGGGGAAAGGTCCTAAGCCTCCATAGCTGCAGAGGGCTGTGGGGGCTCTGGCCTCCGGAACCTGTCACCTACACACCCAGCTGACAGACCCAGTCTGCTCTGTGGCCACATCCTGACCCTAACTCTGACCCTTCCACAGAGCCAATGCGCCGAAGCGTGTCGGAGGCCGCTCTGGCCCAGCTAGAGAGCCCACTGGGTACAGATTCCCTCAAGACACTGAAAGACCTGTGCTTGAAGGGCTCCTCCGAGTTGTCAGACACCCCCAAGATGGCTGAGATGTCACAGTCCCTGGAGACACTTGGCCCCTCCAAACCTTCAGACGTCAACTTCTTTCTGCCTCCTGAGGATGCGCTTGAAGAAGTGGAGGCCAAAGAAGGGCTGAGCGCCATGGACAAAGGCCGGAGCAATAGGGGTACCTTTCCGGAGGGTTTCCACCCACGGCGCTCTAGCCAGGGCCCCACCCAAATGCCTCTCTACTCAGCACCCATCGTTAAGAACCCCTTCATGTCGCCTCTTCTGGCACCCGACTACATGCTCAAGACCCTGCCGCCTGTGCACTTCGTGGTGAGTGTGGATCAGGAGACAGCAGTTAGGCGGGCGGTATTGCTCAGCGCAGGTGATCAGGTGGTGAGAGGAGAGGCAAAGACAGGGCCCTCGAAGGGGGGAAAGTTGGCTCTCTGGGCAGAGGAGGCTGAGCAAAGGGCAGGAGTTTGGTTAAATGCGTTGCCCCCCTTTTTCCACCTCCATCTCTTCATTCACCCCAAATCCCCCATCTCTCCCCCTCCTCGCTCCCCTCCCCCCGTTGCCGCTGCTGCCATGACCTTGCCCTGTGCTCCTCCTCCCCGTGGTCCCGCAGGCATGTGCACTAGACCCCATGCTGGACGACTCGGTCATGTTCGCTCGGCGACTGCGTGCGCTGGGCCAGCCGGTGACACTGCGCGTGGTGGAGGATCTGCCCCACGGCTTCCTGAGCCTGGCTTCGCTGTGCCGAGAGACTCGACAAGCTGCCCAGCTGTGCGTGGAGCGCATCCGCCTCATCCTCACTCCGCTTGCCACGCCTAAGCCCTGAGGTGGAGCTGCTCGGGGAGATGGGAGGCCCCGGGGTGGGAGGGGGCGGCCCTAAAGAGCTCTTCTTCCCATCCACGTGCAGGCCTCGGTGGTATGTGACCTGGGACAGCCTCTCCCGGCTGGCTGGGAAGGAGGGAGGGTCGTGCCTTAAGTTAGGGTACCGCGAGGGGGTGGGGCAGGGGCCCAGAGCTGAGACCTGGCCCGGGAGCAGGGCATGCACACGCCGCTGCTGGTCACCGGACCTGCACTCTACCACTGCCTTCTGCTGCTGCTGCAACCGACCTGCAAGTCGGTTTGATTTTTGTAAATAAAAATATTTAATTAATTTGGCATCTCTCAAATAGGGTGGGGAATGTAAAAAAGCCCAGCAGGGACAGCGTCGGACTCAGCTGCTGGTTAAGAAACCTAGATTATGTGGGCCTAGATTGGGGAAAGGAGCTTCCCACTAACAGAGACCCACTCCTCCTCAGACTCAACCCAGCTTCTCCCTCTGCAGTCCCTCTCAACAGAAATGCTATCTCATGGTTCCAGTGGAAGGCTACTACTCCCCTTTACAAACCCTACCTTGGGGCCCACCAAGGAAAAAAAGGCTCCAAAAGTTGCCCCATGGAACTGGGACAAAGTTAGCAGAAAACCAGAAACCAAATGCTGGCAGTACAAGGTCTGCCCACTTCAGTCAACCCTGTAGGCCTTGCCTCTTGTTGGCCCTGGATTTAGAGTGCAGATGATTTGTATCCAGGGCCTGACTCCGTGGAAATTATGGTCTTGGATCCAGAGGTTCTCTGTAGTAGTCCAGGAGGGCTTCACAGTGGAGATGGTCAGATTGACCTTAAAGGATGCGTACAAATTTGCTAGGCAGAGAAAACGTGTCAGGCTGTGAAGACCTGGTAGGTAGTCATGAAGGCCTCCACCTCCACCTGGTCAGGTCAGGTGCAAAAAAAGAGGGGGAAGGGCCTGAGGGGCTGGAAAGGTATGGGAATCATACAGGGTCTGGAGTACAATTTGAATTACAACCAGAAGCAGTGGAGAGCCCCAGAAGTGCTTTGAGCAATGGTCAGGGTCAGTTGTGGGCGCTGAAAGAGCCTGCTAGGGTACTAGAGGATGGACAGAGAAGGGCAAGAGTACACCCTGGAGGCAAAGGATGTGGCTGGGCACAAGACCAGGCAAGGCCTGCGTTCAAGCAGTGTTAATTCGGGGAGTGCAAGTGAGGCTCCCAGAGCCATACCTGAGGTTGGATGAACAGGACAAGATTATAGACCAGCAGGACAGGATGTCACATGGGGTCTGCCCAGGGGAACTAGTGGCAAATGAGACAGGTGTTCACTGGGGGGAGACTCAGGTGTGTGTATATATGTGTAGGAGACAGGATGCTTAGAGCTGCTTCTGACACAGATAAAAGGTCTCTGTGACACTTTTAGGGACATCGGGGGAGCAGCAGAGTGGTGGAGTAGGCACTCACTTCTGCCTACAGCCAAGAGACTGGGACCTTTCTAGGAAGAATGGGCAGCTGGGGCTAGAGGTGCATGGCACCCAGTAACAGACTATGGAGTGGGGAGGGAGTACTAGAAGGTTCTAGGGAACAGACAGAGGGAAGACACTGTCAGAGCCAGGGAAAAGGAATTTCAGGGAAGAGGGAGTCCTCTGTGACAAAGGAGGACTGAAATGTTATCCTTAGGCCTCAGCAATGAGGAGACGTCAGAGCCTTTGTCCAGAACCCTTACAGGGGCCTGGAAAGGGACAGCTAGATGTGGTGGGTTGAAGGAGTAGAAAGTAAGGGCTAGGGATGTAGCTCAAAGGCACAAAGCCTGCCTGGCAAAGTGGGTGGTCCTGAGTTTGATTCCTGGTACCAAACATAAAGTAAGACATACTGCCAGGTGTGATGACATGTGCCTATAATCCCAGCACTTGAGATGCTGGGGCAGGAGGATCACTGAAAATTCAGGGCCAACCTGGGCCACATCATGAATTCAAGGCCAACCTGAATTACCCAGAGAGACTCTGCCTCAAAAAAAAATAAAAGCAAAAACAAAATAAGAGAGCCAGTGGACACTAAAGCCTTCAGCAGTAAAAAGGCTAACATCATGCATGGGAGCCTGACGAAGGTGCATGCATGTTTCACAACGACGGAACATGTTTTGGTGCTGCCAGGAAGGGAGCGACGGAATCACAAGAAAGCAGTTTCCTGGAGGGATGGGAAGGAAACAGGATCCTCTCTCCTGGGGCCCTCATCCAGCCAACAGTCCAGTGACTTTGTTTTTGTTTTTGTTTTTATTTGGGGGTGTTCTATTTTTTGTTGGGTTTGGTTTGATTTGGGGTTTGTTTGGGTTTTTGCTTTCTTTTACTGTTGTTTCTGAGACAGGATCTCACTGTATAGTTACAGGTGGCCTTGAACTCATTTAGTAGCCCCCCGGCTGGTCTAATATTCACACTGATAGCCCTGTCTCAGCCTCCCAAGCTTTAAAATTACAGGTGTGGCCAACACACCCACCTTCCAACAAGTGAGTTCTGGGTTAAGACCTGTGATGGGAAGGAGCCACAGCCCAGAATTTCCCTTAAAGGTCCAGAAGCACATACAGCTCCCCAACCAGCTCTGAGGACCCCTAGTTCTTCTCTGTCAAAACAACCATCACCCCAAACCTCTTCCTTTTCCCTGTCCCCAACTCAGGGATGTCACCTGAGATGAACAAGAGCTCTGAGTCTCATCCTGGATGTCCTCTCATCCCAATGGCCATTGACTTTGCCTCTTTAATCTGCCTTCAGCCTCTGCCCTGATCCAAGCTCCATCCCGTCCAGTACAGGCCCTGCCAGAGCCATCTCCTGGGTTACTGACTCCCAGTCCCATTTCTTTTGTCCTGGTCTCAGCCCTGACTTGGTCCACACCTGCCCTAAATCTCCTATGGCTCCCTACTCCCCCTTCGAACCCACCCACATATAAAGACAACCACTCTGCCTGGCTTCTGCCCACGTCCACCCCCTCATGCTCTTTCAGCCTTAGTATCCCTGCTGGCAAAGCAGATCTGACTGGCCTTCGGCTTGGGCACCCGCACACAGTCATGCCCCCGCGTGCCTCTCTGGCGTTTGCTCACACCAAAACCCTCCCCACATCTTCCTCTCCCCCTTTGCCTGGCACCTCTTGCCTTTGCAAGATCTGGCTCCTCTGGAAATCCTTTCCTGACCACACCACAATAATAATAATAATAATAATAATAATAATAATAATAATAATAATAATAAACTTCTGTGCTCCCCTGCCCTTTCCACCCCATACTCTTCAATGTGTCCTCCCGTCAGACCCAGCCTCCTGGAGGGCAGGTCCCAGTCTCTGACTCATCTCAGTCCCCACCATAGCACCAGGCCTGATGAACCAGAAGCCTCAGGAAATGTTTGCTTAAGTAATGAGTGGTGAGTGAGTCGCTGTACGGAGGAATCAGTCAGGGAGAGCAGCAAGAACTGAAGGGACGGATGAGCAGGGCGTGTAGGGGCGGATGAGAAGCAGGTTTAGGGCAGGAGAGGGTGGCTGAATAACTGAGATCATGCATCCCTGGTCTCAGTTTCTTAGTAAAGCAACTTGGGTTCGCTATGGCTGAGCTGCCCCCTCTGCTTCCTGTCTGAGCTGTGTCCTAAATCTCAATACTAGTCATTCTGGAAAGAGCTTACCCGGTTGGACCAGCAGAACCCGTTTCCTCTCTAGCTCGCTGAGGTCTTGGCGGAGCTAACTTGGACGTCAGCCCTACAGGTTCCTCGCCTATTGGCAAACTAGGAGTGACTGGCATCTCCAAGAACCAATCGCTGTCTGCGTTGGACTGCGGGTCCCGCCCAATACGGAAAATTCCATGAATGGCCTGGAGCATGGGGGAAGCAAATGTCTATTGGCTAGATGTCAGTGACTGACGTGGTGGATAGCTTATCGCAGCTGGATTCCGGAAGATCAGCTGGCGTGTCAGACCCGCCTCTGAAGAGGTTGAGGGGCTGGTGGCTGAGGGCGTGGTCGAGCGCAAAGTGGCAGTGAATGGGGTTTCTGGTGGCACATACCTAAGCTGTTTGCTGGCCTAACCCTTGGGTCCTGCGGGAGGATGAGACCGGAGAGCCCAGATTCCCCGATCCTGAAGCCGCAAGGTTCTTAGGCCCGGAGAAGGGTGGGGAGGGACTTGTGGGGCTGGGAACCTGAAATGACGTCCTAGGACTGGGACTCCTGTTCCCGAGTCATCGGCCTGCCCTTGGATGACAAGATTTTATGAGGCTATTTATGGAATTGAAGCCAGGCCTTGCCCGTAGGCAAGTATTCTGAGTCCTGAGGTGGGGTGTGAAATAGAGGTGGCAAGGGCAGAGAAGCTATGGCCCTGGATATGCCCGCCCCGACCCGGTAAACCAGGGGCAGGGCACTGTCCGCAAAAGGAAGCCCAAAGGGGAGGGGACTGGAGACTCAGACAAAGAAAAACATAGATACCAAAGAAGAGATAAAAATAATAAAACAACAATAATAACAATAGAGCTCCTCTGTGCTGAATTTACTGTGGCCTGTCTTCTGTGCTAAGCATTTTACATAATTATTTCGTGTCTTCCTTATCATAGTTCTAAGAGAACAGATTATTATTATTATCCCCTCTTTATGACTAGGAAAATTGAGGTCCACTGCAGGAGAATCAGATACAGAGTTTGTTTTTTTTTTTTAAACCAGGCATAATGGGATTGCAATCATAATCCCAGTATTCTAGGAGGCTGAGGCAGGAGGATCACAAATTCAAGCCCGGGCAGTTTAGCCAGACTGTGTCTCACAATGAAATATATATATATTTTTTTTTAGAGAAATTCAATTTTTTTTTAATTTTATTTATTTGTGTGTGTGTGTGTGTGTGTTTATTTGTGTGTGTGGCCAGCTCAGCCCACCAGGGGGCGGGGCTGGCTGGCATGTGGTGCTGGGGGATTGAACCGCAGTCCCTTGTGCTTTGCTGAGCTTGTTCTAAGTAGGTGCTTTAGACCACTGAGCCATCTCACCAGCCCCCAATGAAATATTTTTTAAAGGACTGAAAATGTAGCTTGCACAAAGGCTCCAAATTCAGTCCCCAGCACTGCCCGAGGATGGATACCAAACACAAAATAGAAATGATGAAGAGTTAAAGACAGGTACAGAGAGAACATATAGCAGACGATGAATACAAGGAGAGGATCTGAATGCTGAGACTCCAGGTGACGTGGGTACTGGGCACAGGGACTCTTGAGTCCTGGGCAGAGGAAGGACCAAGGATAGAGACTGCAAGTTTTTTCTCTCCTAAATCCATGATACCAGGCTTGTCTACCCTTTCTTGCTGTGGGTGTTAGGCCTAGTCGGGATCAGAACTAGTGATTAGGAAGAGGCAGGCATGTCATTATCCCATTAGGAGATGAAGAGAAAATGATTCATGGGGGTCCCCCCAGTTCTTCCCTCATGGTCTCTGGCCTTTATCTGGACAGATCAGGCCTCAGGGAGGACTGGGCATGAGTGGGGCCCTCCCTCTTCTTCCCCATCTCTACATCTACTCAGAACTGTCATGGAGTTGGGTAGGCCACCCTGGGGCAGCAACCACTTCCTGGTAGGTCTTTGTCTCTCTGGATCTTTCTTCTTTACACTAGACCTTGAACTGATGCCCTCTAGAAACC